AAATTGAGAAAGTTATGAAATATGAAATGTAAGGTTACACCTAAAGATATAGTTAAATCATTTTACAACATTTTTAGATATGTCAGAAATTTAGCTTACTCTTATTTCTAAAGACTGGATTTCAGTTTCTTTAAATGTTTATACATAACTATCATCTCACTTAACCCACCTAACAAGCTTGTGTAAATGGATTACAGAACAGGGACTTGGAGGTATAGTAAAAAGACTAAAAAGGATAGGAAGTTGTGGAGAGTCATGAAAAAAAAAAGATTCACTCCAGTGGCGTAGCTGGGGGGGGGGGGTCAAACCGCCCCGGGTGCTAGCACAGGAGGGGTGACACAATGTCACCCCCAACGAAATTTTTCAACAAGGCTAAGGTGCCAAAAATAGTCTGAAAACAGTGGTGGAGACACAGGGTTTCGCAGGTGGGCATATGACCCCCCCCCCATAATTTATGACCTCCCCAGTTATGTCCCCCCATCAGAAATTTTCTAATAAATTGTCGGGAAATTTGTGAGTAGGAAAAATAGCAATGTTTTCAGCTTTCATGTGTTTCAGTTGCTACAATCTTGGTTACTAACAAGAGACATTGTTGTAACATTTTACGGATGATATGGTGTTTTAACTCTGCATCATTAATAACAACAAAAGAAATACGAAGCCAAAAAGTGCAACAATTTCAGTCTTGCTTGTGTATCAATTTGCTGAGATACAATTTTCCATTGAGTGAGCGATATACTTTTGAATATATCTACTAGTGTTGGGACGATTAATCGGAATCGAGAATCGGAAAATCGGAACTTTTGGGGTATCGGAAAAATTTTGCCTATTTTCCGATTCCAAAAAAATTCTTTTAAATTTTTAACTTAATTTCCCATTATTGGTACTAATGATAAATATTTATTGTTTTTAAATTATCGCTAAAAACTAAAATCATAATAACATCAAAATCGATGTAAATTTATTTTACTTGTATAAAGAAAAACAAATAAATAAACTTTGCATAAATTCTCTAGGTAACCTTTAAAAGAATGCAGTTGATTTACAATGTTCAAAAAATGCTTAAAAATTAAATAGAACATTTTTGTCAAGAAAAATACTTTCAAACATCATTGATAATTAAATGGTACCCAGAAAATGATGCAACGGAAAATTGGACACCGGAAAATTAGCAACAGAAAATTACGTCAACCATGAGCCAGTCAAGAATGTCGGATCTGGCTGTGCTGTCCAAGCTTACAAGACAAACAGATTTTGACGATGTCATTGACCAGTTTGCCACAATGAAAACAAGAAAACATTCATTCTAAGACCACAGTATCGAATGTCATTCTTTTGTGTATTACCGTGTTTTGTATTTAGTTGTTCTGAAAGTGAACAGTTGCATTTTAAAAAATCTTTTTGATTTGAACTGATTATTTTGTGGTATTGGATTTTGTCTTGGATCATACATGTAAACAGTAACATACCAGTCAGTAGAGTAAAGTAGAGGTAGAGCATGTATGAAAATTTAGCTACAGCTAACCATTCAGCATAGGGTGAATCGGGGTCATTGGGGTGACATTTGAGCAGACCACCCCAGGTGACATTTACTCTAGCTACGCCACTGATTCACTCTCTTGATAATTATAGCTTTTCACTGAGTGTACTTACTCTTGATAATTATTTAACTTGATATTCCATTATGATGTACCTGTATACAGTACAAATGATGAAAGAATGATCCTCTCAAAGTTTCTCACTTTGACAGAATTGACTTACTTTAGGAAATATAAAAATTAACAAGACAAATAATAAAATAAAAAAACTATTCTACAGAAACCAACTACACAATAACCACAAACTAAGCAAAATAAGAAACCTAACACATCAATACATATCACCTATTGACAACACATACTCATCACTTATTATTAAGAAAACTAAAAACAACTTCCAGCATGATCCCCATCAATGATATAGTAACAAAATATCAAAACTTCAACAAACCAATGTTGTTTATGAATTTGCTTTCTCACTTAGAGAATGTCTCTCTAATAATAACAATTCAAACAAAACATACATTGGTTACACAACCACTACATTTTTATTCCAGTTAACTGGCCATTTATATAATAATAAAGAGTTGATAAGCTATAAAATAAAAAAACAAATCAGTTACTCATTTATCCAATAATTGCTCAACTGAATTACATATCATTAACCAATACAGCAAGAAAACACAAGAAATCTGACAAATCACCAGCAATAACACAAAAATACAATAGCATATAAATTGTACAAAATAAATACAAATAATAGAAGGTTTCATCATAAAAAAAAACAACCAACCAACCCAACAGCAATAAAATTTCATCTAATTAAGGGACAAACATATTAAGTATATTTCACAATTAATAATATAAACAAAAGAACATGACCCCAGAAACTGACGCATGAAGATGTAAAAAAAAAAAAAAAAAAAGAAAATGGCATAACACTTACCAATATGTGAAGGCAAAGCACTCGAAAACTACAAAAAATATGTTCTATACACAGAGGCACAACCCTATCAAGACAAAAATAAAACTCTTTGATAATGGCTTATGAAAACCAAAAATGATCAGAAGATATTGGACAGTTTATGTTCAAATTTTCCTTGGAAACCAAAAACATATATATGATGAAATTGATCCTATAAGTGTTGATAAATATCAGTACTATCAAAGATGTAACTCAGTAAAAATCCATATAGGAAATTATCATAGAATGATTGGTTGTAGAGGCAAATTTGACTTTAAACAAAATGATTGATTCTCAAGAAGAAATCTTGTCCTAACAAGAACAGAGAAAAACATCACCAAATTTCAAGTTAAAATAATGAACATATTCCAGGTTTTTATGTAGGTACCTCCATGAGATCGCTAAAAAAACAAAACTTTATTGTCTAAATGTTTGTTATTATTAAAAGGAAAAATCAAAGTATTTTGGGTGTATGATTTTCCATTTTTTTTAATCGTTTATTAAAAATCTTTTTTTAGTCAGAAAAATTAACATAATCAATCATGACAACCATTTCTTTCCATTTTATAAAAAAATGAAAATATCAGTTTTAAATTCTTTTAAAAATCAATTATAATTTTTTTCAAAACTTATTTTAAGAAAATCAGAAATTATAATGTTTATTTAAAATATTTTGAAACAACCTTAACCTTAACTTTCTGCACCAAAAAGATGTAGTTTGAAAATAAAACAAAGCAGATCATAACTTTTCATGTCACTTGACAGGTGATCAAAGACATTTTCATGATGTATTGATAGCTTACAGGAAGATAATTTATTCTACGGAAGGTGAGAAGTGAAATTATTTAGATTTAAGTGAACAAATTATTTACCTTGTTATTTCTATGGAAAACTTTCACCACTCTATTTCTTTTTTTTTTTTTTTTTTTTTTTTTTTTTTTTAAATAAGACTGCTGAGAGTGAGATTAACTTTCATAAAATTAAAATAAGATGATTCACTGAAAACTGTAAAACAACTTCACAAAATTGAAACTGCAATGAAATATGTAAATTAAATAAATGGTACTTTTAAAAATATAGTAATGTTGCTGCTGAAAATGGCTTAGGATGATGTTCAAATTTTTTTAATTAGTAGAAACGCTAATTCAAAATGCTCAATATGTGTTTCGCATGAAGAATTTGCAATAATGAAATGTGACATTCAGCGGAGAACGCTTACACTCAAGACACATGAAGTTTTATTGCTTGTGACCTTCCGTACTTTTTAATTACAGCCATTTTAACAATTTTTTATGAACACAATATTACATTTCTTCATTACTGCAGGTCTCCTGATTGGACAAAGCGATCCAATTTACAAAGTCTGTCTATATTTCTGAGATGAGATATTATGTACATTATTTACATTATTCGGACTATTGTCCTCATCTTTGTCGCCATATTTATCACAATGTTTTGGCTGTTGTACGCTCCGGCCTTCTTCAGGTGGTTGGAATGTCAAACTGAACCCTTTATTTCGCTCACTGGGGTAGACTGTTCTAGTTCCACGTGCCATGTTTGATGGATGTCAGTTATCAGTTATCTCCTGTTAATTTCCCTCTGAAAGTTCTCCATTGCCTTAACCGGGTATTGAACTCACACTCTTGGGGTCCTGTCACTGGATCTAATCAACGCCTTTATACCCAGTTAAGGCTCTTGTAATGAATGAATGCTCTTTTTTTAACGATCTTATGGAGGTACCTATTTTTATGGCATAGTGAAAGTAACATAGAAGCTATGAGTTGCAGTTTAACAACAGTAATTAAGGAAGTGGCCAAAATTGTAGCCATTAAAAATGACAATAGCAAAAGGAAATACTCAAAGTCAACAGTAGAACTGATGAAAAAACAGAGAATAAAAACCAAGATAAAATTGTAAGTGTAAAATTAAATTACTCAGCCAAAAAATGTGAAAAGGAAAAAAGGAAGTTGAACATGGAAAAGAAGTGAAGAAAAGGAAACATTTTCAAACACAGCTCAACTTATAATTATAGTATTGAATATTATAGTATTATTAATTATATAGAGATTATTGAAAAATATCTTCTGGAAATAAATAAGAGTGAATATTAATGGAGAACATTTAGACATTCTGCTGGTGATAATTTTATTAATATGTTAATCATCTGATCAATTACAAAAAATGATAATCTGGATACAGAACATTTGAAGATGTCTTTAAAAATGAACAAAAATCTAAAACAAAAGTAATGTCCAATTGTAATATCCCCAAATTAATCATAGTGTGAGAGCTCTTGGAAGAGATCAAAGAATACAACTATTAAAGTAAAAGATAAATTTAGAGAAAAAGCATAAAAATAAAATCACTTGTAATGAATGATTAGAAAGCATTTAGTAAAAAATGTGACATAATGAAAATTACCTGAAAACAAATTTGTAATGAGACAAAGATCAATGAAAAAAAAATGTTATGAATAAGAGATAGAAATAGGTCAAGGCTTACAGCCATATCACCTTGAAACATTGGTTCCCATAAAATCACCGAAGTTAAGTAACATTGAGCCTGGTCAGTATCTAGATGGGTGGCCACTTGGGAATACAAGGTGTTGGAAGCTTAGATATGTGGGTGATGTAATGAATAATAGCTCGCAATTCTTAATCAGAGAGACAATTTCCAATTTCGGTTGAATTCATTATACTCACTCACACACAAATAACTCTTATATCCCCCAGCTATGGGTTAATTAGTAAAACTTGTATCAATAAATCATTATTATCTCACAAAAACAAAATTCTTACAATCAGAAAAAAAAAAAAAATTCCGGTTTTGAATAACCTGAAAAGGGTTGATCTTGTATAAAAAGAATTACTCAATCAATGACATAGGTTTGGTTTCGTTTGTTTTATGGCCTATCAACCTCAATGATTTAATGTCGACAAAATTTTTCTTGCTGGTAAAAATTTTTTTTTTTTTTTTTTCCAAAAATGTATTTCTGGTAATATATTTTCTTCAAAAATGCTTCTTCTTTTTCTTTTTATCTTTTTTTTTTTTTTTCTAAGTATTTCTGGTATTAAAAAACTATCTTTTTACATTGATAGTAGTGTTTTGACCCCAGTTTGGGGGTTAACTATTTGCCCATAGCTGGGACCCTAACAGATGCTACCACCCCAGGTCAGGATGAACCTAGTTGCACCAGCAATTAAGAGGTAGTTCCATGCTCCTCAGAACCTCCTGATCAGAGTCCTTGCTGTTGGACATAGTTTATCGTCTTACCCAGAACGTGGATGTAGTTTATCGTCATACCCAGGACAGAATGAAATAGGTCAACATGGACCCAAGAACAGACAATATAGAATTGATTAAGCAACAAAAACAAAAAAAAGTAGCAGACAGAAGATGAAGAATAGCACAGTCATGAAAATCATAGAAAGTGATGGGGGGAAAGGCCTTTTTCCAGTAGTGGATTCACACTAGTCATAATATTGTGTGGGTGTGTGCATATGAATTTTTATTTTTTTGTCATTAACAAGTCACATGTTCTGAAATCTTGTGATTCTTGATTAATGATCTTTATCTTATTTGTGAATCTGATTTAAACATTTTCATGTAAAAAGAGATTGATTGGAATTATATAGAATATATACAAATTTGAAAATATAAATTTGTATGGTGTAAAAGCTCAAAACTTTATGTATTGCAGAAATTGTTTTTTGCAATGAAATGAAGATGTAAAATGCAAAATAGGCCATCAATTTTCATTAGAGGCATTTAAAGATTTTCCATGTTCAGGACCAGTTTTTGTAGCCCTCCTCTACGTTGATGAAAGAATAATACTATTTTAAATCCCATTTGTAGTCAGAATCTTTGCACTCCTACTTGATTAAAACTGATTTAAGATATGATGGTATATATAGTTATTTTGAATTGAATATGATGTTGATAGATATGATTTTCACTTAAATATATTGTAATTTTCATTGCTGCTTGTTTATAGCTGATCATCAATACTGTGGAGAAGACAAATTCTTCTGTAAGATTTCAAATTACTGTATTTACAACAATCAAAAGTGTGACGGTCGAAATGATTGTATTCATGGTGAGGATGAAGAGAACTGTAACAAAGGTGAGTATCATGTTATAAACATTTGTTATTACTAACAGTCATTGTGGTGCATTTCATGCATGTTAAACACCTAAAGATTGTTTTGGCTAACTCTCAAAGACACTTTGACCGATTCTAGTTTACTGCTTTTCCTATTCAAAAACTGATTTATCGTGATTTTTATTTAACAATAATTCAATAATGATTATTCTTGCCTTTACTGCTTTAAAAACCAGCTCAGACTTTCTTTTAGAAAAATGTTTTTTCTGACTCCCTTACCAAAACAAAAAAAATATCTTGAATCCTTCAAAATTTAAAATTATATTCCTGTTTCTTCTTTATCAAAAAAGCTTAGGTTAATGATCCATTTTTTAATCAACACTTCTGTATTATAAATTTATTTATATAATAATTGTTTTTCAGCTAAATGCAAAGAACATGATGAATTTCTTTGTGAACAAAATAATATGTGCATTCCCAAGATATGGAGATGTGACCTCAGTGATGACTGCCCTGATGGTTCAGATGAAACTAATTGTAGTAAGTCTCTTATAAATTTTCAGCATTAGTGATTGCTTTATTTTGATTACCAATTCAAATTCTGTGAGTTCCTAACTTAACATTTATTTTTTAATATACACACAAGTTTATCTGTTGCTCAAAAAAGAATAATGCCTTAATATAAAAAGATTTTTCTTTGAACTTTCTGTCAGACTTAACCAAAGATTTGGATTAGAATTATAAATGCTGTCTTTTAATCTAATAATCAACCTTTATATATTTACATACATACATACATACACACACACACACACACACACACACATATATATATATATATATATATATATATATATACAGTAGCGTCCAAAACTAAAGGACAACTCAATTTTGTCCCTTACTTTTGGACGTTCAAATTTGAAAATAAATAAATAATTGTTATAATTCTTTTCTATCCTTTGTAAAATGATTCAAATTTTAGTATGTTATTATGGATGATAACGACTACCAGTTGTCAAAATTTCAACTTTTCACAGTTGTTATTTCTAACAAATATTAGGTTTTAAAATTTTTGTCCCTTAGTTTTGGACGCTACTATATATATATATATATATATATATATATATATATATATATATATATATATATATATATGCAAACATATATGGCAATCTATGTAAATATCATTTCCTATAATCACATATCTTAAATCCTTGTAACATAGTTTTCTTCCTTTTCTTATAATAGGCTGCAATCCAGAATTATTTGAATGCGCTGATGGAACCTGTTTACCTTTCAACTGGGAATGTGATGGACACTCTGACTGCCAAGATGGTTCTGATGAACATGGTGGTTGTAGTAAGTTACTTTACAAATCTACTGGATTGACTTAATTTTGAATCTGGAACTAGTAAATATTTTTCTTCCTTTTAATATTTCAAAGCAAAAATATTAAAGTTTTTTGATGAACAAAAGAATTAGTTTAACTTTCTGATCATTATCTTCTTTTTTTATTTTACATTTTGTATTTTGCTTTGAAAGCAATGCATTCTAAAGTAACACAACATAATTGTTCCTTTGTTCTCTTTTTCCTCTCTCTCTCTCTTATTCTTTTCCTTTTCTTTTTTCTCTCTTATGCTTATTTTCAGCCAGTAATTTTGAATGGAAAAGTATTATTCCCAGTTTCACTCCAAGCTATAATTAAAGCCTGTAAAATAGTAAAGACTGCAACCAATGTTTGTCTCATCAGGTGCATTATTTATTGACTATCATTGTGTATATATCTATTCATAAAATAGTTATCTTTACAGAATTAACATTAAAGGGGAAAATAACACATATATCCACAAATCTCAATTGTTTCAATTTGAATCTACTAGCCAAATACTTGTCCTATAAAAAGAGTAAAGTCAGTTGAAATAAAACTTCTGTTTCAAACAGCATTTTCAGTAAGATATCTATTTTCTAAAGTTCATTTTGTCATTATACTAAGTCCACTTGTATTTTCTAATCTGAAAATTAGAAACATAGAGTTGACCACGAGAGAAAGATTTGAATAATTTTCTAATGTTTGTATTAATAAGCCTGATATTAAAGTATGATTGTTTTGGACTGTTTTATTCTGCTAATGTTAGGTAGAGTAGACACAGAAAAAAATTAGCTTTACACAAATTTATAAAAGATAATTTAGAACCACCAAAAATTTCATTAATTATCAAATTAATTCCTTTAGAGAAAAGAAAATTTAGCATGTGAAAGAAAAACTATCAGCACAGTACAGTTTTTATTTTTATTTTTTTTTTAGTTTCTGCTGCCTGCAAAAAAAAGCCTCTTTTTTTTTTTCTTTTTTTTTCTTTTTTTTTTTTGTACACTTTGCATTAATATTGTATGACTTGAATGTAACTTGACCCATTCTTATCACTCCTTCATCTTTACAAATGCACATGGTGTTTTCTTTTTTTTTTTTATGTAATTTTTCTACCAAACAAGAACTCACAAAAATGACATTAAATATAAACAAATAAAAACTTATACAGAATACAATTCTACACATTCAGATTTTATTATTCAACTTTGTGTTTTCACAATAAAATGTTGGTAAAATTTCCAGACTTTCCTTAGATTTGTATGAGAAATATGCCATTCAAGTTTTGGCTTGTCGTATTTATCCTTATATGGCTAAGAACTTTTCAGGTTTTATTATGTAAATAAAATAAATGCCACAAATTTTTATTTATAAATAAATTCCAGATATCAGCCATAGAAATATGTTTGATTAGCACAATATCCAATATATTGGAATAAATTATTAGTTTACATGTTAATAAGGATTCCTTGGCATTATATGACATTAATTGATCTTTAAATCGCTTGATTTTCTAAAATTTTCTTTTCTTTTGAATATAAAATTACTTGCAGCAGTTTTTATTGCTTCCCAGGGATCTTCTTTGATTAAATATTGTTTTCCTTCCTCATATAAAACTGTTTTAATAACGAGCCACAAGATTTTTATTGTTCAATATCTGAAGTGGTTGGGAGTGATTCCATTAATGTGGTGTCTTTGAAACCATTTTTGGCAAAGTGTGAAGGGACATCATTTTGCATGATTCATGCAAGATAACACCTCTTCATATTCACATACTCTTTAGATCAAAGTTTCTAGTTTGTGTCTAAATCATTCAAAATATAATTAGAATAATTATCTTCATTTAGCTTAATACAATCATCCAATTTGAAGGTATGTATAATTTTATTGTTTACAGTTGTAGCCCAAAACTATTCAACTTTCTTTCTACTGTCTCCTAAATCATATCGGTTGACTCTTTTCATGAAAGATCCAACCTTTAGCTCAGTTATATCAGGTCTATCCAACATTTATCATTAAAAAATATTGTTGAGAAATCAGCTTTCATGCATTTCTTTGCCTAACTTGCATGTTTCTCTTTGTGATGTTTACAAAAAGGTGATTCTTTGATTGATTTCATGTCTTTTGCCAATATTCTGAATATT